GGAGGAAGAAGAAGAGGGCTGAGGGATGAAGATGAATGGGATTTAGGTGACACTACTATTGATGGCGTAATGAAGAAGATGAAGAGGACAAGTGGCATTTTAAATTTTAATACTTGATAGTTGTTTATTGAAACCATCAATTATAGTTCTTAATATTTGACGATTTTTTACTAAAAGAATCAAACATACGAAATATATTTTTTGCCAAAAAAAAATTTCTTAAGTTTGATGGTTCTCCTTCACAACCGTTAAACTTAAGGCTTTGTATTTTTTTTATATTTGACAATTAATATAGGGAACCATCAAATATAAAATCTTGCCTCTGTATATTTGACAATCCCTTAAATAATCATCAAATATAAAGAGTCATTTATTACCAAATTTGTAGTAGTATGACTTGGAAGAGGGAAGTGAAAGGGGAAGGGGAGAGATGTATTACATGTGAAGTGTAACATCCCAATTTAAATTTTAATAGTTAATTTGGGTTAATAGAAATTTTGAAATATTTAGAGGTAAGCAAATTAGTAGAAAATGATTATTAAATCTAACTTAGGATATAATTCTAAATTAATTTTTTTAAAAAATTATTAATTAATTAATTAAAAAATATTATTAAATTATTATTATTATAAAAAAAAGAGAAAAGGTATGAATAAAAAAAAGGGAAGAAGAAGAAGAAGAACAAAATTGCTTTCGGTGCCGCATGCAATGATCACACATATAAAATAAAAAAAAAGAAAGAAGAGAGAGGAAAGGGAAAAATAAAAAAAATTTGTGGGACCCACATTCATTTTTAAAAGCCACCGTTCTCTTCTCATTTTCCTTCATTTTCTTCCTCTTTCATGTGCGATCAGAGAGAGCATCTGTGAGCGTGAGTCGCCGGAGCAGAAGATCTAAATTTTTAAGGTAAGAGTTTTTAATAAGATATTTAGGGTGTGATTTTAAGCTTTTTAAGACTAAGTAAGTGTTCTAAAAAATTTTCTTAATCATCCTTCCTCTTTGGTTTCTGATTTTGTGGTGGTAGAAAATTTAGGATATGGAAGAGGGATGAATTTATGTTGAATAAATATGGTTTATAAGGTTGTTAGTAGTATAATAAATGTTTTAGAGTATAAATTTGTTGATGATCTTTGAATTTGTGGCTTATGGATCAAATTCTAAACTAGATCTGAAAATATATGTTGATTTATTGAGATTTAGATGATTATTTGGGATGAGAAATGAATTATTATGGCTATAGGATTATGATTCTAAGCTAGAGACTCAATTTTTAATTTTTGGGTATTTTAGGTGCGAATTTATAAAATAAAAAGAAAATTTTGATAATAGAAATTAGTTTAGAAGTTGATTTTTAGATTATTAATGTTTATTGATGACTAAAAGAGGAGTTAAAAATTTTACTTAATAGTATTGACTCTAGATTTGTATTAAGATTGAGATTAGAAATTATGTTATATTTTTAATTCTATTATTAGAATTATTTTATTAGTTTTAAAAAATTGAAACTAATATTTATAAATAATATGTTATTTGTAGATTGTATTATTGGTGAAGATTGTGGTGGGAGAGAAATTGTAAGGAATAATTTATTGAAAAAGCCACGAGGTAACCATGCTTTTAATTTGTGATTAGTGTTACTTCATGTTAATTGAGTGATTATTGAGAAAATTATGAATTTTGTAATATTGTATAATTGTGCAATATTATTATGAATTTGTTTGATTATTGTGGGAGGTGTTGGGAGACTTGCTATTGTTGTTGTATTTATGTGCCACGTGGTACGCCCCTATTGGAGCTCAATAGGTGGCATGTAAGGGCTTGAGCTAATCTACCTTTGGCTGGGTAATTTAGCACCGAGTGAGGGCTACAGCTTGAGGTTAATGGAGGGATATAAGAATGGTTGTTTGTGTGTATTATAATATTTCTTATATTTTTTTGGAATTATATTATTTTTGGTTCCCACTTAGTAAGCACACACTTAACTGTTTGTACACACTATTATAAATTGGCTTTGATTACTGGGACTTTTGAGTCTCATTATATGGTTAACAATTTTCAGGAGAAGAGCCACGAGTGACACGTGGAGGAGTCCTAGAGGCTTAGTGGCATAGATCTACTGTCTCTTTTGGGTATTTGATTTATGATTTATAATGTGTTATATTGTCAATATTAGGGCTTTTTATTTATTGACAATTATATGAATATATAAATGTAATTATGTCTTTCAAACTATTTATATTTTTAGTACACTTTGAATGACTGTAATTTTAATATTTAGTTTACTTTGAATTGGTTAAAATGGCATGATTATGAGGTCAAATAACTGGCTTGTATTGAAAATTGGCTAAATTATTTATTTTACTTATTGGGAGTATAAGGATGGACAAATGTGATTTAGTTTACTTGTTAGGAGTATAAGGATGGACAAATGTGATTTAGCCTAATGGCATATGAGAGATAAAAATTTATCTGAAATGTTATATTGTGTGAGTTGAAGCCAATTATAAAATATTTTATATTGAAATTATTGATATAAAATATGTTGGGTGGCTGTAACCCAATTATGGTTGAATTAAATTATTTAAAAAAAGATTTGGTGTGTTATATGGAGGGCCAAAGGATAACATGGCAAGCCATCTAAATAGTTCACAGTCAAAATTCTTGACTTAACAGTCAACACGATAAAACCTTAATAATAGGGTGAAATTATATCAATTTGAAAAATGTTGAGTTGAAATTGTATCAAAAAATACTTTAGGATATGGAGTGCATCTAAGTAAAAACATTGAGAGCATTTTTGTACCTTAACACAAATGACATTAAGTACATTTATATTTTTTTATTAAAAGATTATATAACTTTAAAATTAATCAGATAATTTTCATAATTCAATTTATATAATTAAGTTATGTTTTCTAAATAATTTGCATACATATATAGAATTTTTAAAAATGAATAAAAATGTAACCATTATATTAAATCAAATTTTGAATACAATTCAATTTTTTTGTTTTAGGAAAATTAATCATTCATGAATAATTTTAACTACCAAGGATTAACAAATTTAATATGTCAAACTATAAAAATTCAATTCAAAGAAAATAAATTATAGGAATCTAATTTAAAATTAAAAAATTATAAATACTTACAAATTATTTTTTTTAAATAGTTTATTTATTACCTTAAGAAAAGAGCTAAAATTTGACCCCAAGACATTTATGAATATAAGATTAGGGGAAGTATTACAAAAGCTTAAATTGATTGATAGATTTGAATTTGAATTTAAAATTTTATATTTAAATTTTCACATTTAAAATTCATGTATTTAAAATTTTTATTTGAATAGTGTAAAAAAATTTAGGGACAAAAGAGTGACGAGCTAAAATTCAAAATAAAAATAAAAGATTGAGAGTAAGAGACTTATTTATATTTTTCAATTATAAGAGACGAGAACGAGAGATGAAAGGAGAGATAGGAGTAACAAAAACGTTGATGTAAAAACTTGAAAGAAATGAAAGAGTTGGAATAGTTTCAAATAATTAGAATGTAGATGAAATTTAAAATTACAAAAAATATAATAAAACATGAATTTGGATTCCATGTACTTTCATGTATCCAAATAAAAATTTGGTTCAAATGTAAATTTAAATTCAAGGCCCATTTAAATTTTAGTTTGATATAATTAATTATGAAAAAAATTAATTAATATGATTAATTTTAATTATAATTGATTATGTTATAATGCAATTTGTTTAGATACTAAAATTAATTTTAGCTATATAAATTATCATAAAGGACATTGCTTTTTAAAATTAAATTATGGATAAAGTTGTATTTAATATTATTAAATTATTAAACTTCATTTGAGAAGTAAAATATTATTTAACAGTAAAATTAAATTTATAAGCAACCTCCTAGAATTTATTTTCAAAAGTGATTCTAATTTAATAATCAGTTATCATATTTTTTGATTGTGTGGATAATATTTTTAAAAAATGATTATTTAGTCCTTGATTATATTATCAATCCAAACAAGCTGTCAAATGCTTTTCCATAACCTTAATTCAAATTTATTACATTACAACCATGACGATTATCATGACTGTACAAATAGAATCATCATCGAACACGTGGGCCAAATTAAAAAAATGGGAGAATTGCACTGCAAGCCTCAAAAGAACCAAACATTACATTACAGGCTCAATAGATTATATTATTGCATTATAAGCTCAAGGGTGCTTGTTGCAATTTTTTGCGAATGGAGTACAATTTTGACCTTTTGTGATTTAAAAAACTCAAATCATACACAATACAATGTCCATCGATACATAACACAATGTTCATGTGTGTCTAATTGATCAGTACGTTTAATAAAATATATAAGTGATGCACACAATATACAATACTATGTTCATAAATGCACAACACAATATTCATGCATTTTCAACTAAATGTTTATGTGTGTTATATAGATATTGTTTTGAGAATTCATGAATATGGTGTTGTGTATCTATGAATATCGTATTGTACATCTATAGACATTGTGTTGTACATGCAAATAAACATGGTCAATATCTTGTTGTGTATTCATGGATATCGTGTTGTGTATGATTTGAGTTTTTAAATTATATAAAGATAAAATTGTACTTTCACTTTTAAAAAATTTTGGAACAAGAACTCTTAAACTTGCAGTGTAATATCAAAATATATGGATCTAAAGTACAATTTTTTGCTGTTTTAGAGCTTGCAGTGCCAGTGCGTTTCTCCCTCACAGAATCAACGATGGGACCCAATTTAAAGAATACTAGCAGAGTAGAACTTAGTTGGCAGTCGCGAAAGCAAGAGGTAATCGCGGGAGCCAACTGTCAACAATCCGACTATTTACGCGTCCGCGTCCAAGTCGTAGCCAAACCCCCAAGTAGGCCGCACTGATCTCTTCCTTAACACAAACTATAAATAACTCCTCACTTTCCTCCCACCCTCTCCACCACCAACTCATCTCAACACTCACCTACTCACTGCTTTCTCACATCTCATCCAAATCTGATGAATTTTTTCAGACAAGACATACTCGATTCTTCTTCTTCAGAGGGAAGCTCGTTGAGCGGCAACGAGCCGATGTTGTTATTGGCGTCGGAGAGACCCAATAAGCGAGCGGGAAGGAGGGTTTTCAGGGAGACGACGCATCCCGTGTACAGAGGAGTGCGACGGAGGAACAACGGCGAGTAGGTTTGCGAGGCTCGTGTGCCGAATGATAAGACAAGGATTTGGCTTGGAACATATTCCACGGCGGAGATGGCCGCTCGTGCTCATGATGTGACGGCAATGGCTCTCCATGGGAAGTCGACTTGCCTTAATTTCGCTGACTCGTCTTGGCGGTTGCCTCTGCCGGAATCAACCAATTCGGCTGAGATTAGGCGCGTGGCCGCTCTCGCTGCTCAGGAATTCGGCCGGCGTAGTAGTACTGATGATGTTGAAGTTTGCAGCAGTTGCAGTAATGCAACGGTCGACGACGAAGTCATTGGAGACGCGTCGCCGTCGAATATTTTGCAGGATTACTGTGAAGAAGAAGAGCCTTACATGATCAAACTCCGGCTGCGTCGACGGAGTTTGACGAGCTCCGTCATTTGCTCTTCACTATGGCGGAGGAGCCTCTCCGATCGACACCCTCTTTGAGACCATATGGTTGGAGTTGGAATGACGGGGAGGTTGAAACTGAGGTCTCACTGTGGCGGTATTGAGAGCTCGAGGCGCTGCTCGTAGGAATTACTGTAACATGTTAGTTTGTGACTGGCGCACACATGTATATGGATTTGCATCATTACCTTGATTTTTTTTTTTTTTTTTTTTTTGCCCCTGGAAAGTGAAACCAAAGTTATTTGTTATTTACTCCGTCGCTGGTGAGGGACCCAAAAAAATTAATTTGTGAGGGCAAAATGTGTACATAAGATAAATATTAATATTATTCATAAATTAATGATCATTTTTACTAAATTTTATTAAATGTAAAATTTATTAAAATTAAATGCTATTAAAGAATTAAAGAACTATACATAAAATATAACATTATAATAACATAAAAGTTATATATCTATTAGAATTCTATTTTTTGTTTTAATTAATAAAACTTAATTCTTTTGAGTATTGACCAATAAAAATGGGTTTAATTGATAATGACTCAGCCCATAATCTGATCTGATTAGCCTTAATTTTTTTGCGTAAAAAAAATTATGTTTTGTATAATATACATTTTTTGTGATAAAATTTTCAATTTAAACAACCAAAAAAAATATTTTCTAAACTATTGCTCCCTTCCTTTTAAAAACTCATGCTATTTAAGGTTAAAAACACATAAATAAGATTTTGATCAAACAAAATTTTAAAGAAATTTTATGGGACCACATGAATTTTCATTTTCTTAAGGGGGCACAGGCAGCTAAACATTTTAAGTGAGGGCAAAAAAAATGTTTAGAATCACTACATGTATTTCTCTTTGGGCTTGTGGGGGCAATTGCCTCATCTATCTTACAAATAGGTCCGTCCTTGCTCTGTCCAATCGTTCTTGTTAGTTGTTAATAACCCTTAATTTGTGTACTTTTCTTAACTAATTAAATATTATCCTAATTAACCAAACAATATCCTCAAAGTAATAAACTTATCATTTATTATAATCTTGACATTTTAAAAATATTCACTAATTTTAATTTATTTAATTTAAATTTATATAAAGTTGTTAATAACTTTATCATCATCATCATCATCATCCAACTTTTCTACATGAAATTGCCTCTGGTTTTGAATTTTACGTGACAAATATAAAATGTAACAAACCCATCTATTCCTATGGCTTTTAAGCCAAGCTCTTCTTCATACACTTTGTCACGCATAAATAGAGTTTAAGGAAAATTCATGTCTCATGTTAGGTGAAAAGTTGGTAAAAGAAATCAAATATCTTTTAAGTGTTTCTAGTAGGTAGTACTCTTTTTTATCCAAACCACTTGTTAAGTACACCTCTTCTCTTGCGAACAATGTAACACCCTAAATATTTTTTCAAGATAATTAACTCAATTATAGTAGAAAAGTGTATATCATGATAAACATAAGTTAACTAATCCTATATTTTCTTTTTGAATCAATTCTGTAACTTAAAATACTACTATAATAGAAAATGATGAAATATAGTTTTTATAAAATATTCCATCTTTTAAATTGACTACCATAGTAAAAAAGATTAAGGTAGATAGATGAATAACTACTATTATGGTAGGTAGAATTTAAACTTTCTAAATTATCATTTTGAAAATTTAGGGTCTCAAGCATTGAAAACAAAATAAGTGTGAAAGGCTTAAAAGATTCCTTTTAAAATTGAGAACATGATAAACACAATAAATTAGGAAAAATATAAATAGTTTTACAATTTAAAATCTTATAACCATCAATCAATCTTTCTAAATAAAACAAAATCATTTTTGATACTGCTAATACACATTTACAACTGTAGTTGGGTTATAGCCATCCAACATAATTTATATTAATAAATTAAATATAAAAACAACTAACAATTGGCTTAGGTTTGCATAATACAACATTTTAATTAAATTTTTAACTTCCTAGAAGCCATTAGGCTAAAATCACATCTTTCAATCTTATGCTCCCAACAAGTGCAAACCATAAACCAACAATCAAAATAGACAATTTAATTAGTTTTTAAAACAAACCAGTTATATGGCTCATAATCATGCCATTTCAAACCATATTAAAATAGATCAAATATCGCAGTTACAATCATCCAAAGTATACCAAAAGCATAAATAGTTTAAAGGGCATGATTACATCCTTACATTCATATAACTGTCAACAAGTAAAAGGCCCTAGCATTGACAATATAACATATTAGAAATTATAAATCCAAAAGATCCAAAAGAGACAATAGATCTACACCACTAAGCTTCAGGGGCTCCTCCATGCGCAATTGGTGTCTCCTTTCCTGAAAATTGTTAACCACATAGTGAGACTCAAAAGTTTCAGTAACTAATACTAATTATAATAATGTATGCAAACAGTTAAATATTTGCTTGCTAAGTGGGGAAGTAACAATTATATAATTCAAACAAAAATACAAGAGATATTATAATATATGACAAACAATCATCCTTATTTCCCTTCAGTAACCTTGAGCATAGCTTTCACTTAGTGCTAAATTATCCAGTCAAAGATAGATCAGCTTGAGCTCTTACAAGTCACCCATTAGCCCTCTAATAGGGGCGTACCAAATGACACAAAAATACTACAACAACAACAAACACTACATCTCTTAACACCTTCCACAATAATAAAAAAATTACATATCAACATTGTACAATTATACAATATTATAATTTTCACAATTTTTATATTTTCAACAATATTATAACATGACATTCCACTTGGCAAAAATACTTCAAAATACATATTTATAATTTCACAATTTTTCCATAAACATAACAAAATAATTTCTCAAGAACAATTTACAATTTTCTCAATAATCACACAATCAACATGAAGAAATACTAATAACAAATTAAAGCATGGTTACCTTGTGGTGAACCTTGGATCACGATCTGAAACTACATCCTTAGGAACTCCATGTAATCGCACAATTTCCTGGATATACAGTTTTGCAAACTTATCCATGGTGTAACCATTTCTAATAATAAGAAAATGGGTTGACTTCATCAATCTATCAACAATGACCCATATGGCATCGTACCCTGCCTATGTTTTAGGCAAACCCATGATAAAGTCTATGAAAATGCTTTCCTACTTCTAGGTTGGAATTTTCAATGGTCACAATAAACCACTAGGCCTTTGATGCTCTATTTTCACCTTCTGACAAGTCAGATACTTGCTCACATACTCTGTCACATCACGCTTCAGACCACGCCACCATTAGTACCGCTTCATGTCTTGATACATCTTGGTTGCTCCAGGTTAGATGGTGAATTTGCTTCTATGAGCTTCGGCAAGAATTATGTCCTTTAGCTCTTTCACTTTAGGAATGCAAACCTTCTATTGTAGACTATAAGACCATTATCATCAAAAGTGAAATTTATATCAGTCATCTTCTCATTTAAGTTCTTTCGAACTTCTAACAAGTACAGATCTTCAAATTGAGCTGCTCGCAACTTATCCTAGAATTCAATTGTAAGTATCGTAGTATTTAATTGAACATAGCATAATTTGGGATATTTTGTGGAAAACTAGAGAAATCTTCCAACAACTTCTGTTCATGAATCATCATACAAGCCACAGGCATAGTCTTCCTACTCAAGGCATCAGCCATTACATTGGCCTTCCCTGGATAGTACTTCAGTTTGAACTCATAGTCTTTTAGGAATTCCATCCATCTTCTTTGCCTCATATTCATCTCCTTCTAGTCTGCCAAATATTTAAGACTTTTATGATTGCTAAACACTTCAAATTGTGCACCATAAAGATAGTGTCTCTAGATTTTAAGAGCAAAGACAACAGTTGCTAGCTGTAGATCATGAGTGGGGTAGTTCATTTCATGAGGCCTCAATTGTCTTGATGCATAGGCTACAACTCTACCATCTTGCATAAGAACAGATCCAAGACCCTTAAGTGATGCATCTGTATAAACACCAATGATTGCTTAAGATAAGGAATAGTCAAGATTGGTATAGTCATTGACTTCTTTCTGAAGGTGATAAACGCCTCTTCACACTCTTGGGTCCACATAAAAGGTTTGTCTTTCTTGGTCAATTTAGTCAATACTGATGTTATTTGAGAATACCCTTCAATAAATCTCCTGTAATAGCCAGCCAACCTCAAGAAACTTCTGATTTTTGATACTGAGGTTAGTCAATCCCATTTCAACATCGTATCGACCTTGTAAAGATCAACTGCAATACCTTCCTCAGAAACAACATGCCCTAGAAACTTCACTTCATTAAGCCAAAACTCACATTTACTCAACTTGGCATAAAGTTGCCTTCCTTTTAGAATTTGCAGCACTAATCTCAGATGCTCTTCATGCTCTATTTCACTCTTGGAGTAGATAAGAATATCATTAACAAGGACAACAACAAACTTATCTAGGTAGGGCCTGAAGATTCTATTCATATAATCTATGATATTGCTGGTACATTTGTTAGCCCAAATGACATAACTAGGAATTCATAGTACCCATACCTTGTTCTGAAAGTTGTCTTAGGTATATCCTCTGCCTTTACCCTTAACTGATGATACCCATACCTCAAGTCAATCTTTAAGAATACCACCACTCCAGCCACTTGATCTAAGAGATCATCAATTCGTGGCAATGGATATTTGTTTTTGATTGCCACCTTATTAAGTTGGCAGTAGTCGATACACAATTACATACTCCCATCTTTCATTTTCACCAAAGATAATCGATGATCCCTATAGTGATACACTTGATCTTATGAAGCCCTTAGCTAACAAGTCTTCCAGTTGCTTCTTCAACTCTTCTAATTCTACCAGGGGCATTTGACTATAGAGCCTTTGAGATTGGCTCGGTACTCGGAGCTAAATCAATTGAGAATTTGACTTCTCTCTTTAGTGGCAAACCATTCACATCTTCTACAAAAACCTCTCAAAATTCTTTCATTACTTTTATCTAATCAATCTTTTGTTCTTTGTCTCCTTACATTGAATAGAACACCATGAACATTTGGCATCCTTCTTGATCTAACTTCTTGACTTCCATAGCAGATAAGAACTTAGGCATTTCTATGTCTACCATAATGGTATGTACAGTCATTTTAGGGACTATAGAAGTAGTAATATCTACTGGTAATAGAACCGTCTTCTTGTTACAGTCTAAAGTCGCTCCATTAGCTGATAGCTAGTCTATTCCCACAATTACATTAATGCTCAACAAAGGCAAACAAATTAAGTCAATAATTGTAACTCT